GGATCTCTTGTTTAATTCTTTAATAATGTCTTACAGTTTTCAGTATACATGTCTTCCATTGCTTTACTATGATACCATATAGTATCATGGATGCATATTGTCAACATGACCTTTCTCTACTAATGTTGAGTTTGATCACCTGCCTGAGGGAGAGTTTGTCAGGTAACTCTACATTAGAGTTACTCTGGAATGAGGCGCTGTGTTTCTCCTCCTTCAGGGTGGAGTATCTACACAAATAATTTCTGTACAGATTTGTCTCCTAACCTTCATTAGTTTTTAATCCAATCATTTATTTGCATCAGTATGGATTCATGAGTGGATATTTTCTTTATATTTTGTTATGATAAAATGCTATTTTATTTATTGTCAAATTGTTCCTTCTTTGGTTTTTAAGACTCATTCAGTTGGCTTTTGTGCCTCCTTGACATGTCCCCATGGTTATAAGCTTTTTAAATACTTCCTTGCATTCTGGCACTATAAGAAGCTGCTGGTTTGTTACAGTTCCTTCCCCAGTCCCAGAATATGACATCTCTCCAAGGAACCCAAGTTTCTTTTATTGGAGAATGGTATTGTAAACCAAAATCTAGATGATAAGTATGCTTATTCCTTCTTGGTCTTCTCAGATGATGATGTAAGGAAATATGTGTATGTTTCCTAACCCATGTACATCCACCTATCTATAAATATTTCTGCATGTAATCCTCTCTATCTTTATGAAGCTAATGTTTAGTACATACTGACATCTCCAGCTCTAATCAATTCCAGCCATTCCTTTGCTTGCCTATAAATTATGAATAAAACAGTGAGAAATCATATTCCTATCATCAGCACTTCATTTATTAAATCCTCATTTCCAGTGTACATGCCTAGCTGTGGCAGAATGGTTAATCAGTGCTCCCATGAGAAACTTTTTAAACTAAAGTAGAATGTATACGAAGAATTTAGTTGCCTTTACTCTTACACACTCTAATCATGTCAAAAAATTATTTAAGCCAGCACCCTTTCCTTCCACCTTGTTAAGTGGCTTTTCATATATTTTTGCTACAGTTTAATTTTTTTTTAATATTCTGCATTCCATTTTGGGATCCTTTAACTTCCTAAGTGAGCTGTGTTCATTTTCACACATTAAAGATAATTCCTTGTACTGTAAAATTCTATGGATTTTGATAAATGCACAGTCATCTATCCACAATCACAGAATAGTTAACTCGTGGTATAAAACTAACTAGAGTTCCATCTGTTCAACACTCTCCATGCCTTCCTCCATCCCTAACCCCTGAAAAACAACTGATATCATTACTATTACTCTTGCTTCTTTCATAGGGTAACATAAATGGAATCATATAGTATGTGTGGCTTCTTCAGAATAGCTTCTTTCACTTAGCAACATACATTTAAGATTCATCATGTCTTTTTGTGAGTTTGATGAATTTGTACAGCTAAATATCACTCCTTGTGTAGATAGGACACAGTTAATTCATATTTCCTTACAGTCTGTGGCTTGTCTTTTGATTCTCTTACTAGTACCTTCCAAAAAGAAGAAACTCTTCATTTTAATAAAGGTCACCATGTCAACTTTTTCTTTCTATAATATCCTTTTATGTTTTACTTCTGTGTCTATAATCCATTTTTGAGTTTTGTGGCACATGTGGGGTCATACATATGTTGAATTGTTTTTGAAAAGAAACCATCCTTTCTCCCTTTGTGTTTACTTCTTTGTCAAAGATGAATTAACCATATTTGTGTGGGTCTATTTCTGGGCACTCCATTTTCCACACTGATTTATATGTCTACCTTTTGCCATTACCATACTGTTTTGATTAATACAGCTTTAGCATAACTCTTCTAAAATAAGCTCCTATGATTTCTCCAACTTCGTTCTTTTTCTTCAGTATTTTGTTGACTATTTTAGGTGTTTTATCTTTCCATATAAGTTTTATAATCACTTTATTGATGTCTGCAAATCGCTTGCTGCTATTTAATTGGGATTGCACTGAAACTATAGATTAAGTTGAGAATAAATGATATCTTAAAACTATTGAGTCTTCTAATCCATAAACTCAGAATATCTATTTAGATTTTTTTCTTGATATCTTTCATTAGTTTTATGTTTTCTCACATATAAATCTCAAACATATTTTACTGGATTTGCAGCCAGGAATTTCATTTTGCTTCTAGTAAAACTATATATGCTGGTATATAGGAAAACCTTGACTTTTATATGTTACTTTATATGTTGTGTGACCTTGCTATTGCTTCTTTAGGATTTTCCACACAAATCATGATATCTACAAACAAAATTTCCCTTCCTCCTTCCTAATTTGTATAGATTTTATTTCCTTTCCTTGTCTTATTACACTAGCCAAGATTCTCAGTATTGTGGTGAATAAAAGTAGTAAAAGACATCCTTGCTTTGTATCTGATCTTAGGGACAATGCATCCAGCTTATTATATTATTATGTTAACTATGGTGTTTGAGATGTTCTTTATCAAGTTGAGGCAGTTATCCTTTATTCTTAAAGTAAGTATTCTACTTTCTTGTGAACTGTTTTCCACTCAATTTCTGGTACTTGTGGTAAGCCTTTTGCTCATGTCTGATCATTCCTTTGTCCTTTGTAGTTTTGATGCATATTTTATTTATATGTCTGTAAAATCCCTACTGTCTTCTGCTCATAAAGATTCACCTATCACTGAATTCACTAAAATACATTCTTTGAGTATAATTTGAAAGTAAGTAACTAGCTCAGTCTTTAACATTCTCTTTCCTTAATCATTCCATGCATCTAGAAGACAAAGGTAAGATGTCGATAACAGACCTGGATTGAGTTTTCTACTGACCTTTTTGGCTACTTACAGAATCTTGGCTAAATTCTTTAATCCCCAGATTCTTTAATGGCACCATTTCTTTACATTAAAAAATTAAGATTGTAACAGTCATGATTTATTTTTACTCAAAAGGATTTAAAGAAAGTCCAATACCTTTATGTTATCAAGTTTGTGAACTTCTTGAATGGTATTCCAAATAGATTGGAAGGTGGTTCCCTCCCCTCATTCCTGATGTTCATGCCTCTTGTCCAATTATTACTTGTTCCTAACAAACAGAATATAGCATGCTTGATAGGATATGATTCCCATGATTTATGTTCTGCCACAAGGCAAATTTGACATCATGCCACGTTCATGATTTTGTCACATAATATGGAAAAGGTGATGGAAAGTCACATACATGGTTATGTTATGTAGTAAAAATCATGGTATATCACCTGTGATTGCATTGCATCATTTAAGATTCTGTCTTGCTTACAGCCTCTCCCTTTATCTACACAGTTGGCTTTCAAGAAGTAAGTTGTTATGAATCATATGACCATAAGAAGAAACTTATTTTGACAACTATAAGGAACTTAAAAGTAGATCTTTCCCATGTCAAGCCTTCTGGTGAGAACTCAACCCTAGGAAACCCTTTAATTGTAGCTTTGTGAGACCCTGTGCAGCCACAGGTAACCTGTGTGCAGACTCTTGACCCACAGAAATTGTGAGGTAATAAACATGAGCTAAGTCTCTGAATTTGTACTAGTTTGTTGAACAGCAATAGAAAGTGGATATGACTGTAAAGCCTTAGATAAGTACCTAATGAGGTAATGTTTTGGAGTTTGTTTATTCATTTGTTGGGAGCACTGAATATTGAATCCAGGGCCTCACAAATGGTAGGGAATTTCTCTACTCTTGAGCTACACCCTGAGCCCTGTAATCCCTTTTAATGGCCTCAGAGAAATAAGTATGACAAGGTCACTCAGTTCTTTAAAGATCTACTTTTAAAACAATCATTTCATTTAAGGTAGGGAAGTAAAGAGAGGAAAAGACAAATGAAAGAGAAAGTTCTGACACTGATAAAAACCATTATTTCAGAAAGCTATCAGATTTTACTTTATAGTCCATAGTTCTGTACCAAAATGGATCTAAACTGAGAGTGCTCATGATCTGAAGGGCTCAGTATAGTTAGCTATGTACTGGTTACAATATTTAGCTTGTATTCACTCATAAACACTTCTCCTTTATGACCAGTACACACAGGTTGTTTGCATATTGACTTCTTTGGTTCAAACTGGGATTTTTCACACTGTTTGGATTATGCATCTAAGATGTAAAAGTATTACAAAGAAAAAAATGATGAGCAATGTTCATTTTTTTAAAATGTATTTCCTAACTACTTGATATGGTAATATTCTTTGAGCCACATGTAACATAATTCCTAATATGCCTGACTCAAATTTTGTTTCCAAATGCCATACTAAAAAACTGTTTTCATGACAAATTGTCAGTTAATGTAACTCACCATTATTACATACTTGACAACTTTGAGATAAAAAATAAAAACTGCTTTTCAATTCTTTTCTACATAAATTACAACAAAGTGAGTCACTGTTCACCAAAAGATGCCTCTAAAGCTCCTCTCAGGTCAGATGCAGACTGAGAAGCTATGCTGTGAGAAATTTAGCCACATTTCCACTAAACAGCTGTGAACACACAAAACATGAACTGCCCTTCCTTCCCGTACCTTGGTTAACCAGCTTTGCATTTTTTTTTTCTAGAACATAAATCTAAGTGTTGACCCTAATTCTTCTTATTACAGACTAGAGTAATACTGCTCTGTCTTTCCCCTACTTTACATTTGACATTTACTCATACAGAAGTATTACACTTGTATTAAAGCCACAAACAATGACTTATGGTCCACTTTCCCAGACGATCTGCAGTAGTTCCCAGCATTTTCTTGCATCATAAAAACTTTGAAGTCATCTTCCTCCCAAATAAGTATTTTTCTTTTCCTTGGACTTTGTGAAATAGCCTTACTAGGAAATCCTGCATTCATGTAAGCTAAACTTTAATGGCAATTCTAAAGGATGATGAGAAACTAGCAATACCAGCTGAATCATAACTGGTTGGCAAACTCCTGTTGAAAAGAAATACATTGTTAATCATGTAGGTATTAATGTGCCTATATCTGAAAACTTGTTTATGGAAGCCAGAGATAAGAGTCACCCTAAGTGTTTGGTTTCCCACTTGCTGAAGACAATATGGTTATCTACACAGTATCTACAGTGTACATTAGGTTTTTCTATTAATGAGAGAAAAAGTACAATAATTATAACAACAAGGAACCAGAAAAAAAATAAAGGATATCTACAGAGATTAAGAGGATAGGCTAGATTCAAGAAGAGCTGGCTTCCACAGCCTTTCCACTCATTAGTCATGTGACCACAGAACATGTCTCCAAATTCCTGCCTTCTTATCTGTATGCCTAACACCCATTCCAACAGCAAAAATTTTCTATAGCTTACTAGGCATTCAGTAAATGGTGGGCAGGATTGCTGGTACACCTGACAAAGGTGCTACCTTCCATCTGAATGGCAGAGTCTACTGGATGTCTGTGAGTTCAAGAATTAACTGAATACAAGACCCGTATTTATTTATGTTTTATCATTTACTACTCTACAAGCTATCTTGCCCTACTCTTTTTTCAAAAATGAACTTTCTGCAGATTAATTAGAAGTTTACTTATGTGTAGCAGTTCCACTCAGAGTCACCCATCTCTATTACACACACACACACACACACACACACACACCCCTTATAATCTGTGAGGACTGTTTACTGCATAGTAGACTATTTACTTCATGATCTAGGAAACGAACAGCTAAATCAACAAAGCAAAGGAAGCATGGACTTTAATGGATATTAATAGAATACAGCATGATTGGAAAGCTAGAACATAACATAACCCATAGGGAAAAGCGTGCTGAGGTGATGACTATTTGGAATATGTATGGTGAAGAACAATGAGAAAAACCTATGGGAGGAAAATCATTTTCCTCATCCTCCTTTTCTAAACTTAAACAATTTGACCTTTGTAGCCAAAAAAAAAAAAAGACAAAATCACAAAACTGTATGATCCTGAGATTTCTGAACTTGTTATCAGTGTTTACACAGACCAAAAATTGAAGTGGGCAAAAAGAATGAGATTCCCACCCTTTTTATTTAAATTGCCTGTAACAAAGACTTTATTATATACTTCTCAGCACCCATCTCCCACTTCATCTTTCCATGGTTCTTGTGAAGCGTAACCCCTTCTATTAAGTCTTATATTTCCTGTTTTATTGCCATTATGAAGGTAAGAAACCTGGTCTTTATTTATAATACTTTATTTGAAAAAGAAACACTCAAAAGCCTAGTATCAAGGCTTTCTAGAGGCTACTGAGTTTAATTAAGCAAAGAAAGTTTTGTAATTGACCAAATTCACCTATGGAAGGTAAATCTGCTAATTACATTTTGTCACTCTCTAGTTACACTTGCCTCCAAGAGTTCATTTTTCACATGCAAAATCTTGAAAATAAATGCTATTCTTTCCTTTACAGCAGCATTAGAGTGATCAGGAACTTGTATTAATTTGTAATATTATCTTATTATTTAATTTCCTTGATTTCTGCTTAGAACTTGAGCTGCTGTGTTTGAAAAATGATTGAAGAAGCAAAAAAATGACATAAAATGTTAAATAAAGATCACTGTCCCTATGAAATGCTGTCAGTTTCACAATCCATCTGAGCTTTCCCATTGAACTGGGTGGAGTTGATCTCTGCGAGTTTAGAGAATTCTGATGTCAGCCAATTTGAAAGGGCACTGTGACCCATTAAAAGTGACTCTCTTCCTCCTCCACTGCTCGGTGAAGGCCAGGGATGAATTTCAAGAGTTGCTTTCGGACACTTCCCCTTCTGCTTTTCCGAGGCAGAGTCCCAAACATGCTTGAGTAATTGCCCTCCCACAAGGGAGACAAAGATCCACTGCTGGTGGTACTGATGGTCCGGTTCCTCCTTGAAGAACTCTTCTGAAAATCCTCCCCGTCCTTGGAGACAAAGCACTCATCATCTGTGCTTGTCTGGCGGCTGAATCCACCCCTGCTGGAATCCTCAGACAGATATGTCTGGTAGCCATCTTCGCTGTCCACTGTCATGGAGCTCAACCAACTCTTACAGCTGCTCTCACTGGATAATCGATTCCGGTCCATGAGGGCTGGACTTGGCCCAGGCAGGACTCCAAACAAAGCCAAGTCATCCATGTCCATGTTCTCCAAACTTGGGTGATTAGCTGCATCTCCTAGAACACAGACAACAAATCCTATTGTGGAATGCATCTGATTCTCAGTCCTACAAATACATACACCAAATTTTCTCTTTAAAGAACACACAAAAGAGGAAAGGTAAATATTTGTCTCTGAGCTTTAACTTACATGAATAAGTGACTTTATGAGGTCATTTGACAGCCCATGTAGTAAGGTTTGCCAAACTATGGTTGATGAATTAGCTTTCAATGGAAGGGTTCCATGGTCATGAAAATAGTGTTAGAATAAACTTGAACAAGATGCTTCGTGCTACAGTTTGGGTCTGGAATGCTCTCTACAAGGCCCAAGTGATAAAGCCTTGGTCCCTAGCATGGTGCATTTGGGAGGTGGTGGAAACATAAAAAGGTGGGGCCTAGTCAGAGATCTTAGGTCACTGTGGACATGTTTTGACTTAGATTGTGATGCTCTGGTCTCTCTCTCTCTTTCACTCCCTGGCCATTTCTCAAACACCCTCAAGTCTATTAAAGTCAGGGAGTGGTTGAATTAGCAAGGTTTTACCAAAGTTTTTGTATCTCTGTCTCTCTAATAAACTTCAGATCCCCAAAAGTCTGTTACAAATTTTTAAAATATTAACCAAAAGGGTAGGGCATGGTGGCACATGCCAGTAATCCCAGCACTTGGAAAGCAGAGGCAAGAGTATCTTGAAATAGTGAGATCCTGTCTCAAAAATATTAACTGAAAAACATAAAAAGGAGAAGTAAATTATACAAGTTTCAAACACATCTATTTTTTTTAAAAAAAGGACTTTCATCCACATCTCTAAGCTATAAATTAGTGCCTCCTTAAAGATTAAATTGCATCTTTTTAGAATATATGGAACTCAAAAATCTCAATAGTAAAAACAAATAATATCCCAACTAAAGAGGGGGCAATAGACTTAGATAGACATTTCTCAAAAGATGATACAAAATGGCCAACAGGTACATGAAAAAATTCTTGGCATCACTAATCACCAGGGAAACACAAATTAAACCACAATTAAATATCACTTCACTCCAGTAAGCATGTCAACTACAAAAAAAAAAAAAAAAAGACAAAAGAAGAAATGCTGGTGGGGATGTGGAGAGAAGGGAAACCCTTGCTTAATGTAATACGGTGTGCTACTTTATAGCAGCAGGAAAGGCAGACTATGTTCCCTACTGGTCTTTGAAAATCTCTTATACAAATGTGTACATGATAGGTATGTGAGTATTTTCATGTGCATATCTGTTATGCACGTGGAGAAGAGAGTGTGACCTAACTTACTCCTTCAAAGTTCAATTCAAAGAAACACAAATTAGTGTCCTTGATTGCTGTTAGACAATTTTTCTTATGCTAATGATAGTCTTAAAAGAACTTATAGGTAACTATAGATAACAAGAACCTACCATATATTTCCAAAAACTAGAGGAAAAGAATTTGAATGCTTTCATCAGAATGAAATGATTAGTGCTGGAGGAGCTTGATATATTTAACCTGACTTAAACATTACACAATGCATACATGCATCAAAATATCACAGGTTAAAGCATAATTTTTCTGTTTTTATGTATCAGTTTTTAGATGATTTCAAGTTGCATCTTTTTCTACAAATAAAGCAATTATCACTTTTAACAAATATTCTAGGCTAAATTTTATCTAAAGACAAACCTGTACTTCACACCCACATGCCTAGTGGTTTCACAGTTAGTGAATTATTTGTATATAAAAGTTCATTCTTCAGGTTACATCATTCACACTGCAAAGAGCAAATCAAACTATGACCTCAACCCTTCTTTTCAGAATGTACACAATAGCAAAAGCTATGCATTCACTTACATATAATCTTATATGTGTCTGTCTTGGGAAATATGAAAAAGGATTTCTTTGCATAAATGCAACTTATATGATTTGAAGAAATAGTAAGAGCTCTATCGAAAAGCTATGTAGCCATTCCAGTTTCAACAGCTTCTGAGAGCTACAGAGCTCCAAAGCCATGACCATATCAAGGAATTCAACTCATATGCTGAAGTAGCAGGAAAGGCAGGCAATGCTCCCTACTGGTCTTCAAAAACTCCAGACCTCCCTTGCAAGCACATACATGCCATGTACATATGTGTTTCCATGGGTTTGTGCATTATGTGTGTGGAGAAGATGGTGTGACTTGACTTATCCCTCCTCCAAATACATAAGTCATTCCAAATTCACAACAAAGAAGCACAGACCAGTGTTCTTGATTGGTATTAGACACATTTTTCTTGTAACAATGATAATCTTAAAGCAATTTAGAGGTAGAAACACTGAAAAGATGAACTGTAAATGTGGTTTCTAAACAGGAAATCACTTTACCATGAAGCAGGTGCTGTTCCTGTAACTGCAGAGACTTGAACTCCACCCATTTTTTCTTCAAGGTTTGCTGTGAGAAAGGGGAAAAAAGAGTCCTAATTAGTAGGAAACACCAAGTGAAGAATGCAATTTAATTTTAGTGTTAAGATTTGACACTAAAAATTTCTCTTTTCAAATAATTCAAACTTTTGCTGTATTAGAAGAGAATATCTGGAATACTAATTTTGTAGAAATAGTGTACCAAGACCAACAAAACTTCTTTTAAAAACAACAGAAACAGTGAAGTTTATGCTATTTTTTAAAACATTATAGAAACAGATTGCTTAGGATTGTAAGAACTGACTAGCTGTTCACACAAGGGCCTGAACACTAGAATTCCTCCAAATCCATAATGAAGACAATGACAGAACATAAGCCCTGTGAGTCTCATTAAGATTAATGAGTTAACAGATAAAAAATCTTCAGAACAGCAAATGATCAGTAAATATCATCATCAATCTATGACCCTGGGGTATAAAATAGCCTTTTTTGCTGGATATGCATTTACTTTCTGCACCAAAAAGAGTACAGACTGGTTCTGAAATGGTTCCTTGGGGAACTAAACTTAGAACACTGCTAAGCACCCGGACTTCTTAGCTGCTTTCTCCCTCGCTGCTACAGTACACACAGTAACTCACTGCCATGCAAATGAGTGACCTCAATAATGGTCACAACAGACACAAGCCCTGACCAGCCCACAGAAGGGCCGAGGCAGTGGAAGTGGAAAGCAAACCAGGCAGATAGCATCTGACAGGACCGTTGTCTCAGGCTCACTCTACTTCCTGTTTCTTGCCCTCTACTCCACTCCTTCCTTTGCCATTTTAAGCTCAGCAAGCATATATTTCAGTCTATATAGCACGGACACTAGCAAAGATAGCCTAGCTGGATATGAGCAGTCCCTTCTACACAGCAATAGATAAACACTAAAAAGGAAGAGAAAAAGTACATTTGAGAGGAAAAGGTTGAAAGAAAATAAAATGATAAAGTTACAAGAACATATAAACTGCATAAGGGGAACACAGGTCACTCCTCAGTTTGAACAATAACTGGGCAGCATTTTCCAAGCCTTGATTACAGTAGCATTTAAAAGCAATCCTTACAGTTCCCAACATAATATGCAAGCATAACTCAACACAATAACGTGCTTGGCTCAATAATTTCTTATTATTTCTGAACCTTAACAGAATCAATAATTGTCTTAAGACAGTTGGGCTGCCTTAGTGTCAACATTTGCTGTCTTGTAAACTTGTGGTCATGTAAAGATCAGAATCAGAGGCCCAGGGAGTATAATACTAGCAAGATCTGGCATGTGAACCATCTCCTGTAAGATCAGAGTGCAACAGAGGAGTGTAAGGATGGGTTTACAATAGAAAGTAAATGCAGAAAGAAAAAGGAAGGCTTATTCCCGAACTTACAGTCCCAAAGTACACAATAGAGCTTGCAAAATAGTCAAATTTGTGATCATAAATAGAGGTTTGAAAAATGTAATTTGTTGATAATTCATTGATCTGGACCAGTTGTCTAAATATATCATCATTTGCACCAAGAAAATACTAGTATAAAGAGCAGAGGTGTCAAAGTGACTAAGAGATGTCAGTCTGTAGCTAAGTTTCATTATTTTCTTCAGAAAATAATGTGTGACTGACATTACAATTGTATATTTGGATAAATCTAAACTCTCGCTATCAGATGAGCATTGAAGCATAAGTAAAATCTAAACATACAGGCTCACACCCCTTCACTGGGCCTCGCTCAGTGCCTGGTACATAGCAGGTGAAATAACATTTGAGTATTGGTGAATGAACACACAAAAGGACAGCTTCCTGAAACAACCATCAGCTGTCACACACTGAACTGGTTCCAAATGCATTTCCAATATGTTCAGTCTACTTGAGACAAACAACTAGCCATTTCCCAGGCTCTTAAATAATTTTATTGTACGTTCACGGATCATGAGCCATTTAATTTTTATAATTTCCCTAAAAAGTTACAGAAGGAAAAATAAAGTTTTATTGCAGCAAAATATTTCTCAAGGACTGAAAACCTAGTAAAGAACAGAGCAAGATTAGAAGCTAGCTCTCTCAGCCCGTTAGATGTGCTGTTTCCATGTTAAACATTTGAATCATAATTTAGGAGAAAGTAAATCCTGAAAAGTTGGCTCAGAGGGGACACCACTGTTTCTAAAGAAGAGTCTTTACAGAATGAAACACTCACTTATGTGGGATGTACAAAGTAAATGTCATTGTGTGGAGGGGAAGCTACCCTAACCAGGTCAGACTCAGCCATTTCTGGCTCAAGAGATGAACTTCAAATCTCTTAATTACAAGATTAGACATGCAAAATGGTAAGCAGGAATTAACCTCCAGGTCTATTGGAAGAAGCAATAAGAGGTAGTTAGGAATTTATATTGTATGGTAATTAATGGTTAAGTGCACCTATTTTAGGCAAGGGACTGAAGCAAATTTCCTGCTTGAGAAATGAGCCCTCGCTGAAGCTTATGCACCAGGAAAAGGAGGCTAAGAGAAGCTGCTACTGCTGGCATTACCAAGAAAGACAGGAGCAAACAAGCACATGACCTGAGCAAGCTGCGGCTGACTCTCCAGGCACCGTCTCCAAGCTGCCAGATCTAGCTCAGGATTGGGGGCCTGGAAACAAATGCTCCAGGCACCGTCTCCAAGCTGCCAGATCTAGCTCAGGATTGGGGGCCTGGAAACAAATGCTGTGAGGAAGCAACTGTCCAAATATCCAACAAACTGATACTGACCACTCACAGCAGAATACCTATCACTCAAAAGTGCCTAGAGGTAAGCACTCTAAACTCCCAAACACCCTCAGATGTACAATGACAGGAAAGACAATACTTTAATTATCAGTGCATGGATTCTATCTAAGCAAAGCGAAAACAGAGCGATATACAAGGAAGGAAATAAAATAAGAATGCTGATAATATTCAGAGAAATGAAACCAATGTTCATAATAAAAAGTCTGAAACAGAAATAGAACAAAACCGTTAGACATGAAAAAAGAAAACTACATGGCAATAAAATAATTTAAAAGTGCAATTAAAAGAACACACATCCTGCATAACACAGAACAAGAATGTTACTGAAGACATTATTAAGGATGATAAGCCAAGAGATGCTAACAAATCACTAACACGATTCCAGAAGACAACACAGGGATTGGACAAGAGAGGATAGTCTAAGAGATTAACCTTATAGTTTTCCAAAACTAAAGAAACTCAGTTGTCTTTAGACCAAAAGAACACACTGCAGTTGTAAGCAGCATAAATGTATATATGAACCTGGACCTAATGACATTGTGATGAAACTGTCAATCAGTAAAGAATAAAGAAAACCTTAAAAGTAGCCAATAAAATGATTTAAAATTTGCCATAAATCCAAATATTGCTTTGTTAAAGATTTAAAAACAGAAAGTCCTCTAGAGGGCTTTTTTTTTTAACCAAGGAAAAATGAGAGAGAAGGCTTAAAAAGTAGTATAAATAAAGATGAGGACCTAACTACAGTTATAACAGAATTAAAGGACATGAATAGAATTTTTATTATCAAATTCATGCTATATATGTGAAAACTTTATTAACAAAAACATAACTCACTAAAACTACTCAAAAAAGAAAGACTGCCTGAATAGTCTTGCAAATAATAAAGAAATTGAAACAGTGGTTTAAAAGTATTCCTTTCAGAAAAGAACCCCAAGTCCACATGATTCATATGTTATTATAAGAATTCTACTCGAGAACAAAAAGAGGAACAGTTTCTGGTAGAATTCATGTCACAAATTCGGTAAACTCGATACCAAAACTCAAAAAGGAACCAGAGAAAATAAAATTATAGGCTAGTCTATGTGCAAAGTTATTTTCAAAAGTAATTTAAAAATAACAAATCAAACTTAAAAGTATATAAAATGATTATAAATTTCAAGGTAAACCACATTGGATTTGTTCTGGAAATGGATGGCTTTACATTAGAAAATCTAAATGTCATTCGCCATGACAGATTTTTTTAAATGAATGAATGAGAAGCTATCTTATAAATGCAGAAAAAGATATTTGATAAAGCATCATAAAAGCTAGCCAAAAATGTATTAGGCAGCCTCCTTAACCTGAAATACGTTCATAGGCAGAGCTCATTCCAAGTGGAAAAGAATTGGAAGAATTCTCCTTAAAGAAAAAAAAAAAGGATGCCTACTGCTGTCATTTGCATTCATTTTATAGTTCCTAACCAGTGTAGTAAAGTATTAAAAGGAACTGTCATTTTTTGCAGTTATTATCTTTATAGAACACTCCAAAAAATCTGTAGATAATTTATTAGAAATTTATAGTTTAACAAGGTGTTTGAATATTAACAAGAGCATAGAAACATTGATTTCACATATCTATACATTTACTACAATCAAATGTTTATTTTTATAAACTATAATGAGAATAAAAATCGTAAGGTACAAAGAACTAACTAGCAAATGGTGCATAAGATCTATATGAATAAAATTATCAGATTTTATTGGAAGAGAGTAAAGAAAAAAAGGAAAAGTGATAAGGTAATCAATCAACAAGAGAATGTAATACTATCCAGATACCTAATCTCCTTGAATTTATATAAATAAATGTATATATGTGTGTGTGTGTACAAATATATGTGTATATGTATACGCATATATATTTATGGGGATGATAGCAATCAAAAGTCTAACATTATTTATGAAACTTGACAATTTGATTCTAAAATTTATATAGATTATCAAAGGATTGAGAAGAACTACCCAATTAGATATCAAGATTTATTTATAAACTGAGTTTGGGATAAACAGACTGACCAATGAATCGTAATAGGGACCCCATAAGCAAATCCATGCACACATGAAGCTCATTAAAAATAGAAGATTTACTGCAGTTCAGTTGGGGAAAGGAAGCTACAAAATAAATGGTACTAGGAGAACTAGGCATTCATATGGAAAAAAGTTAAATTGGATTTCCCCATAACTGACAATATTTGCAAAAATTAATTATGGCTGAATTAAGGGCTTAAATTTGAAAGAGAAAAAAATTAAACTTTTAAAAGAAAATATAGATTACTTACAAACTATCAACAATTAGGAATTCTCATAAATAAATATAACAAAGTTGTAATACACTCAACGTGTTAAGGAAGCAAAACAACAACTAGAATAATTCAGTTACTTAGAAAAACTTTGTTTCAAGAGTAGCAGAGAAATAAAGACAGTTTTAACACGGACCTACTTACCATCCCTGAAAGAAGTACTTTGCAACAAGGAAAATAAACCAACAGGTAAGAAGTAGCGTGCAAGAGACAACATCAAGTCCATCACTTTAGTGCATTAGTGTATTTCTTCATTATCAGCCATTTAGAATAAAATCCCATACTCTATAATTTTTTCATTGATGAAATTCTCCAAAGTCAGCAATTATAAGGAAAATACACTCTTAAATTAATACTTCAAGCACTTTAAGTTCCTCATGATGTTCTGAAAGAGGATGGAAATATTGGAAAATGTGTACATTGTTAAAAAATAATAGTTAATTATGTATATTAAAACTAAGAGAGCCCGGTGCTGGTGGCTCACGCCTGTAATCCTAGCTACTCAGGAGGGAGAGATCAAGAGGATCGTGGCTCAAAACCAGCCCAGGCAAATAGTTCATGAGACTCTATCTCAGAGAAACCCATCACAAAACAGTGCTGCTGGAGTGGCTCAAGGTGTAGGCCCTGAGTTCAAACCCCAGTATCAAAAAAAAAAAAAAACTTTAAGAGAAGAGGTTCAAAAAGTAGAAGTTTCTTAGAAGCATGAAATAACGTTTTGTTCATGTGAATGTTTTATTTCATGAGATAAAAATCTGTCTTACATAAAATGACTAATCTATTTTCTTTTACTTTTTTTACAAAAGGTTGAAAATATTAAACATTTTTCAAAAGATGTCCACCATAACTACCTCTCTTTTGCAAAAATTAATTAACTTTGACAGTTTTCAAAATCTAAATATAATAAGAAGGGCTTTTTATTCCTGATAAAAATATAATAACAAACTATTAGAAGCATTCCCTTTAAAGTCAAGAATAGGACTACCACTATTTATAATTTACTGAAAATTTTAGCCAATGGTATAAGAGAAGAAAAATAAATTAGTTAAATAATTGAGCTAAAAGGACAAAACTTTCACTATCAATACACTGTCTATATAGAAAATCTCAGGGAATCTATGAAATTATTATTAGAATAAAGGGAGTTCAGCGTAAATACTAGGTTAAAAAATACAAAACCCAACAGCAATAAATATGGAAAAAATAAAAAGATCACCTTGATTAAAGCAAGAAAATTATAGTATATAAGAATAAACATTATAAAAGATATGTGAAAACATTTGAAGAATATTATAAAATATTTTGAAGTATATAAAAGACCTGAATAAAAAGAATAGGTCTGTGTTCAAAATGAGAATGATGAAATTCATAAAGATTTCATTGGTCTCATTTATTTTATAAATATAATTCAATTTCTATCAAAAGATTAAGCAGAGATTTTTTTCAAAGAATTTTAAGAATGATTTAACAAAATCACAGAGATGGGCAAAATGGCAACAGTATCAAAACTAATGTTAATGAAGAAGAAAACAGAGCTTGTTAATGACTTGAACAAGAAGGAAGAAATACAAGATAAAATATAAATGTAGTGAATCTGTCCTCTCAAGCTAAATAATTAATAAGTGCTTACTTTGTGAGGAAAACTAATCTAAGGCAGGTATTTCCAAAGTACAAGTAAGTAATGTACTTCCTATAGTAAGTCATTCAGTCTCTGCTCAGACTGGCCACCTCACTGTCATGCAGGGAAGTAGTGAGATGAAGCCAGTGGGGCCAGGCAGTGGGTCTCCATGGCTATAACTTTGATGCATAAGTGAAGGATGGGACTTATGTCTTGGAAGACCCTTACCAGCCTAGGAAACTGGGATTTTTAAGGCCCCCAGAAAGCCATCCTAGAGAATTTTCACTGAGTATTCTGCATTGCATACTGTCTCTTGGAAACATTTTTCCCCTTCAAAGTTCATAGTGTGTTTGCCAATGAAAGGAGATTCAAGGATAGTCACAGGATTGGAGTGATAAATTACATGGAAGAAAAAGACACAAGGAAACACACTGAAAAAGTAAAAGTCCCAGGCCTGCCAGCCCACTCATGCGACACTTGGGAAGATGATGAAAATACCAGCTCCTACTTATTTTCCCAAGCAAAATGTAAATCAAGAGAGATCACAGGTGCATCAATAAACAGTTCAAGTGATGTGCCTTCCTGTTGCCTTTCTAAGACTAATAGACCCACTGAAGAGGGAAGGAAGAAGGTGATTTATACCTGTTTGCAAAATTTGATATTCCTGCAAAGGTAATTGTGTGACTCTTGATAACTCAACAGTTTAGATTCATCATGACATTTCATCTTCAAGGGCTATCTCCAATTCCTCTAATAGATCTTTATTCTACCACTCACACATTCAAGGATGAAAAATATGCCTTGCTGCATTAAATCAAATTACCTTTAAAATCTGCAGCTTTGCTTCAAGCTCTGCTCTTCTGTGAATCATTGTTCCATTAAGAGTCTCTATCCTGTTTTAAGGAAAGAAAGGGAGAGGGGATAAATAACACGAGTGATTCATTTAAATAAGTACCATCTTTACAGAGTACTACACTAGACTACTAAACTTGGAGCACAAACTATAGTAAAAATGAAACTTAAATGTGACACTTCTCATGGCACTTAAAGTACATGGACCTAAGCCAAATCTGACAACATTAGGAAAAGAAAGGAGGAGGACAAACTCTTCTTGAAAGAGTGGATGAAAAGACTGGTTCATTTGCAACCTGTAGCTCATTCTATAGAAGCCACTCTATGATGAGGATGGTTGCTCTCTATCAGCATTAATTCCTGTGGGGGCAGCTAAATTGTCTCACTCATTTGGTAACTATTTTTGGGGTATCTACTATATGCCAGACTCTAGACACCATACTATGCACAAAGTGTACAACAGCAAAAACCAATAGAACTTTCACAGCAGTACAATAAACATGCTATTTCTTCAAACAATGGAGAAATCCTCTTCTCCCTAAAATTCTGGGATCCTTAACCTCTGTCAATCACCTTGTAATTTTGGAACAAAAACTAACACAACCAGAATGACTCTGAGATAATAGCCTTCATATGGCTCTTTCATCTCAATACCTTTAGTTTACAAACTTTCATCCTAGAATTATCAAATCTACAATGTTCTTTTCTTCCTACACCAAATATTTTTTCTAAAAATAGAAGTCTCATTCTGAGTGATAGGATTTGTTTGGTATACTCAAGTTAAAGACCTTCATTTTGACTACCAAACCATCAATCTGAGTATGCTAGGAAATTTCAGTAGTGAATCACACACCTAAGCACTTTTAAAATATTGGTCTAAATTGCTTCTGACAACTGAGCTGTAACACTGTCTATGAAGATGCAAGAATAGGGAATGGTAAAAGCATTAAAGGTAGAAACCAACTTTCCTCTATTTCTAGCAGCATCATAACTGTGATAATAAGCCAAAGCTGTCGACAAGTCTTGATTCTCTGAGCAACACAAGTAATTCCTATGAAGCTGTTTCACTGACAATCTTAATGTCTAATCTGTCCAAGCAATATATGTGTATGCACAAAACTACAGGAACTGATGGCCCATGCTCTTCAGTATTTGCACACACCAGCTCACATTTTCCTGATGTGTGAATTACCTCGAACTACTACCCCTTATTTACCTATGTCTTTTCACTTTTCTGATACTAGACACCAGCATTTTCCTCTTACAATCTATATAGTTCCCACTTTCTAGGTTCAGGTTTCTTTGACCAAGAGTGCTTTCATCTTTTCTCCTGAAGTCATAGGATTCACAGAGCTGTACTCAGTCTTCTATCACCACCAGTCATCTTTCAAATCTACACATACACACACACACACACACAAACACACAAACACTCCCTAAATATCTTTCATGTATTACTAAAAGCAGCAGCAAATCTTTTTGGTAGCTTACAATGAGCAGCTACCAACAATAGATTCTGCCATGCACAGCAGGTTATCAAGTCCAGCTCTATCACTTACTACTCAAGTGACTTTAACTCAGCCCTTTCTAAGCCACAAGCATTTTGTCTATATATAGGAATAAAACTGAACCCACAAAATAGCTATGAAGAATGAATTGAATAATACAGGACCTACCTCAATCAAAATAAAACCTGAACTCCTTGGCATGACTGATAAGACCCATGATGTGCTCTAGGGCCAATTTTCTGTCTTCAGTTCTTATTATAGTCTCACTGTTCTGGCAGCCACCAATTACACTGGATCTTTCTCTGTCCCTTGGATGTGCCAGGCCCATTTTGAGGGCTCAGAGACCTCTCTCTTTACCTGAAATGCTCTTACTAGGAGTTCACACACCCATCCCTATCTCTATTTAGTCTCAGCTCCCATCTCACTTTCTCATAGAAGACCACTTTAAATATCTAAGCTAAGCCATCAGTTTTCTTACTCAATGCTCTCCTCATTGCCCTATTTTACTGTCCTCATAACAGTTATTAATAACTGAAATATAAAATTGTTTATTTTTCAGATTTATCTTAGTCATCTCCCTCTACGATTATTACAGCTCTAACAAAGTCTGTATCTTTGCATCTTGTGATCCTACAACAGAACTAAAAACATAGTATTTGCTCAATAAATAAAAGTGAATTCTCTTTTTAACTACTTATTAGGGTTTCTGCAGATCCTTGGAAAGCTATGACAGCAATCCAGATGGTGTTTTCAGGGGAATAGCGGGAATCCTGGTGTATCTGTTTCACTGATACTCTCGTTTCTATATACTGGGGTGTTTACTCAGGGCTGCATACTTGCTATGCAAGCACTCAACCACTTGAGCCATACCAGTCCTTTTGCTTTTTATTTGTTTTTTAAATAATGCCTCCTTCTTTTGCCAGGGTTTGCCCTGGACATCAATTCTCCTACCTCTACCTCCAGAGTCACTGAGACTCCTAATGTCAATCTGGAAGAGTGAGTCAAATCTCTAGTTGTAAATACCAATATTTCATTAATATGTTTAGAATATTGGTAGATGTATCTATGTTTTAGGGTTAGGAGGGTAAGCAAACTTTGTTCTTTCTTCCAAATGGAAAAGTAGAAGAGAGAAAAAGAGTTGCTTATGGCATAACAGAAAAAACAGCTCTCTGACCTTTCATTTGTTGTAGTCACAAGATTATATCAGCCATGGAAACTGGACTAGTTTCTCTCAGTCCAAAGAGGATGTGTGCCAATTTAACTTAATTTGACATTAAAAATACATTTGTAAATTCTATCCCTCCCACAAAAAAACCTTTAGTTATATTCAAGACGAAGGAAACCTTGGGAAACAAAAGGAGTTGATAAAAATGTTTGTACACATCCCAAAGCTGTGGTGTACTGCCTCCTGAACAAAAAGCCTATTCATTCACTCAATAGGTGTTGTGAGAGACCATAACATCTTTGAATCCCCGCAGGAACTAAATAGATATTTACGTTAGCAGGTTTCCTGACGATCTGATCAGGTCAACCACTTGTTGGTGGGTAAAGCCTTCTGTGTTCACGCCATTGATATTTGCAAGGACATCACCTGGGAGATGCCGAGAAAAATGACTGTTAGATTGGTTTGTTAAATAATTCCTCTAGACATGCAAATGAAACAAAACAAGCAAGTGCCAAGCCACAGTATTACTCAAGAAAATTCAAATCAATGTTCGCATCCTGACCTTCACTATCAAAAAGTTTTCTTTTCTTGCTATTTCAAAGGTTCCTACAACGAGCAGTTATGTTACCAGTTTGGAGGCCTGCGCTGTGTGCTGCACTGTCTTCCTGCACTCTGCAGATCATAGTACACATTTCTGAGGAGCAGACGTTCTGGTTCTGCAGCCTGTAAGTCTGTAAAATTTAAGGAGATTCACAGTTACTATTCAAGATGCTCAAAATATATTTGTCAAGACATAAAATTGTGTGAATTATCATTAGTAGCATAATAGGTAAGTGCAAAGGACAATTTGGAAGTGCTTCCCTGACTATAAATTGAATCAGAGGTACCAATTTTGCAATTCAACCACACAATCTGCAGCCACCTCCATTCATAAGAAACATCTGGCATGAGAAATAAAGTTGGATGAAAATGATTCAAGATTTCCTACTTTTTAAGCTTAAGAGACCACTTGATGGTGGTATCATTTCATATTTATTAAGAAAATTTAAGCTTTTTATTTCCCAGTGAGATAAAACAACAGGGGCTAAAAGCAAAGAAAAAAAACCATTTATGGGTGAGTATGAGGCAGTACACATCCAGCGAGGGAGATATGCCAACAATGATTATTTTAAATCAGAGAGTTCTACAAATAATGACAATCTGCTCTGCATTTATTCAAAAGTACTATAATTGACTCAATTACGTTCATTTCTGAGCATGCTCTGCTATGCCAGACCTGAATTCACCCATTAATCAGTTACTCAACTAAATTAGAAAAAGGTATGCTGTACCTTTTGTCTCAATTTGCCACAAGCAGTTTGGTAGTGTTGGCTTTAGTGGTGTTTTTTTCTTTCCAAATTGAACCAAAGCACTGAATAACTGCTATATAGAGTGTCCCAGTAATCCAAAAGAAAACCATACTTTTCTTTTTAATACATTTACGTTATGAGGTCTACTTCCATTTATAGTCAAAAAAATCAACATTTTGAATTAAGTCTTTTAAACATCTGATTCCTAAAGGAAAGCCCCAGTACAGAACTATTTCTTCATAGTGAAATAAATGCCTGGTGTTCATTCCTTCTTACTTGATAACCTTGAGATACCAAGTCAATAATGCACAAGCAGCTTCTAGAAATAGCCAGTTAAACTCTAAGGGATTTCTATTCAATGTATAAGGCATTTAAATACCCATATTTTAAAAGTAGAGGGACTTTAAAATCATGTAATGCATTTCCCATCAGAAACCTTTAACAGTGTTTCACTATGGCTCGGATACCTCCAGAGATGTAAGTTGATACAGGAACAACAGAAAACTGACATCCTTTAAGAAAGCAATGTTCTAACCATTCTCATTAAGAATAGGGGTCTACCCTCCTTCCCCTGATCAAACTGAGTACAATGCAGGGAAAACATGCTAATTTATGTGACCAGTACCTGTATATGTTCACAACACATGTCAATTTGGGAATGAGAGAGAAGACAGAAGCCCCAAGGTTACAGAGAGAACATGAACTCAGGTACGTATGAGTCTAAAATCTATATTCCTATCATGCTGTATGAGTGTAACTCATAAACAGGATAAAACTAGCCTCTATGGAGAACCAGAGAGGAGGGTAGATCTGTTCTCTTCCAAAGTATCACTCGCATTGTAGGCCAGAAACCAAATATGTATTCACACATGATGTACATACAATGTGGGTACATGAACTTCTATCTGGTCTGCAAAAGAATCCCAAGAGCATTTCCCCTAGTGTTGACTTCCTGCCTCACTGAGCTAACATACGCATGCTGCAGCTCAGAGGTGAAGTCACTTAATCATGTTTATCTACAAAGGCTCAAGGACTCTGTAGCCTGTTGTCTACTAGTGATGATTTTGACTCTTTCTTCATGTAGAGTAAGTGTTTATGGTATGAGAGAGAAACATAAGGAGGGGTAATAGATACCACAGCAGAATGGGGAATTAAGGTAAGTGAATAGCCATTTATCCTGTTTTCAGTAGCAACTGCTGTACATCCCTGAGGGTTATCTTTATTAAAAAAGAAGTAGTCACAAACACACAATGTCTTTGTAAGTGATCAGGGAATGTTTCATGTGAACATGCTGTACTTCTAAAATTTAATGGATGTCCACAATTATTGTGGCATTTTACAGATTTCACCAAATTTAAAAGTAGAAGAGTTCTGTTTCTTCACCCATTAAACATGTTTTACTTAGCAGCTTCCTGTTCCCAATCTTAAAATACATACTGAGTTTCCAATTGTGGGGCTGATAACACACCAACATTTTCTAAAAGCTGCACCAAAGCTCAAATCTAAAATCTGATATATAACACAAGCATATGATTATGCAAAACACATCTAAAAGAAATCTATCAGTACTAAAGGAAAAAAAAAGTAAACTAACCTATCGACGTTGCACTTAATTCCAACTAAATAACATTTGAACCTCACTGTGCCACCATGTGCAAATACGAGTGAAAACAGACAGTAAATAAGAAAGAAAACCTAGGCAATTACATTGAAAACCTTATGAAACTGTTAAAAATTTCTGCAAACATAAATAAGAGACCAAGTGATTCTTAAGGTTTTTCATTGTTTGTTGCTTTTGTGGTACTTGGTTATGAATCAGGCTCATGTAATGCCAAGCAAGGGCTCTACCACTAATCACAACCCAGCCCCAGTTTTTTCAGATAATAATTA